ATAGTCAAAACAACCTCTACCCAAGTTTTGGTGTCACATTAATCACGAACCACTAAGAATAAACTAAATACAAAGGTCTGAAAGAAATATAACAGCTGTCTGTCTCGAAACAATGAGGCAACAGTCAAAATAAAACATAAAGAAGAGACGCCGGGCCTGCGGACGCCTGCAAGGCTACCTCAGTCTCGTGATATGAAAGCCTGCTCCCGTACTACTGCTGCTGCTGCTCCTCAAAACCTGGACCTGTGCAAAAATGCACAGAAGTGTAGCATCAGCACAACGACCCCATGTGCTGGTAAGTGTCTAGCCTAACCCCGGCGAAGTAGTGACGAGGCTAGACTGGACACCACATAAACTTGTGCAGTTATAAGTATACAGCGGAAATCGAATACCAAGTAATTAACATCATGGGAGGGGAAACATGCTATGGGGAGATACAATAATAACAATAATCCAGAGTAACAACTAAAACAACTTAGGTTCACAGTGAACAAGGAATCTATACTCAAATGTAAACACATAGCCTCAATAATTGTTGCGGCGTGCAACCCGCTCCATAATTACCACTTGTTGCGGCGTGCAACCCGCTCCACAATATCATTGTTGCGGCGTGCAACCCGACCCATATCATTTATCATGTATTATTGTTGCGGCGCGCAACCCGATCCTCATATGTTATTGTTGCGGCGCGCAACCCGATCCTCAACATCATTGTTGCGGCGCGCAACCCGATCCTCAATATCATTTAACAGTCTGACTTCCCAAACAACAGTCACAATTAAGGGCATAAAATAAGCAAATATTTGACAACCATCCCGGCAAGGGAAAGAATCCAACAAGTTCAACCAAACGTCCCGACAAGGGAATAATCAACAACGCTTTCTGTTTCTTACTTTTCTTATCTTTTAATTCACTTTACTATTTTGAGCCAACGCTCCAAAGAATCAAGTCATTTCGTATACTTTCAATATTCATATCACAATTCGAGCCAATGCTCCCAGGAATCAAGTGATCATATTATTGTTCACATGTTATTCACACCAAATGGAAATCCTCCAATAAACGCGGAGTTCACAACCAAATCATGATAATCACATTATAAGGACTCACGGTCATGCTAGACACCAATGTATAGATACTCGTCACCATGCCTATACATCGTACTCGATCACATAGCAATTAGCAACAAGACTCAACTCCTATTCCCTCAAGCTAGGGTTAAACCAAACACTTATCTCAAAGCCTTGAATTCCGCTTAATCCTCAACTATTGCTTTACCTCGTGATTCAACCTCCAATTCAGTGATATCTAGGCATAATCAATTTAATAATATCAATAAAGACTCAATGGTAACATCCCATAGCCTAGATATGAATTTCCTAGCATTATTCCAAAAATCCCGAAATTAGACACCGGGCCCACATGGTCCAAACTCGAGGCTCGGACCAAAACTCAATCACCCATAACCCCACGAGTGCAAATATATAATTTGTTTTAAGATTCGACCCCAAATTGAGGTTGAACCACCCAAAATTCTCAAAACCCTAACTCTACCCAAAACCCATAATTTCTACCTTGATTTCATGATTTAGGGCTAGGAATTCACTAATAAATGAAGGAAATCGAAGGAAACAAGTTAGATAACACTTACCCAAGAATATTTGGTGAAGAATCGCTCTACAAGTCGCCTAGGGGCTGTGGAGAAGAAGAGCTCGTGTATTTTTGTGATAAAACCTGTAGCTACTGTTTCTGTTTTTAAAAAAAATCGCTGGGAAAAATTGCCCTTCGCGTTCGCGGGAAAGGGGCCGCGTTCGCGAAGGGTAAACTGGGCAATACATCGCGAACGCGAGAAAGGGAACGCGAACGCGTAGAAGAAAATGCTGGGGGGTCTAGGATTGGCCTACGCGAACGCGTGCATAGGGACGCGAACGCGATAGAGAATTGAATAGACTATCGCGATCGCGACGGCCAGAACGCGAACGCGATGAAGGGAAATACTGGGGTTTGAATTTAGCTTACGCGATCGCGGGATGCTGTACGCGAACGCGATGAAGGAAATTCTGATGCTTCGCGAACGCGGGAGAGAGAGTGCGATCGCGAAGAAGGAAATGACTGGGCACCTGTTGCAGACTTTTCTGCAACTTTTCAAAGTTTTAAAACCTCCCGGAACACCTCCGAAACACTCCCGAGCCCTCGGGGCTCCTAACCAAATATACACACAACCTCAATAACATCCTACGAACTTACTCGAGCGATCAAATTGCCAAATTAACATCAAAATCATTGAATCAAGCCTCAAGATCATCATTTTCATTTCAAAATTCATGAACTTCCAACTTTAGACATTTAGGTCCGAAACACGTCAAATGACGTCCGATTTTGACCAAACTTTACAGAAAGTGCTTAACACATATTTAAGACTTGTACCGGGCGTCGGAACCAAAATACGAGCCCGATACCACAGTCTTTTAATAAATTTTCATTTCCATTTTCCTTAATGATTTCAGAAAAATAATTTCACAGAAAAATTTATTTCTCGGGCTCTAGACCTCGGAATTCGACTCCGGGCACATGCCCGAGTCCCATATTTTTCTACGGACCTTCTGGGACCGTCCAATCTCGGGTCCGGGTCCGTTTACCAAAAATGTTGACCGAAGTCAACCTCAAACATATTAATATCAGAATTCTTCAAATTTTTCATAGAATTCACATATTTCAACATAAAAGCTTTCCGGCTACGCGCTCGGACTGCGCACGTAAATCGAGGCAAGTAAAAATGAGGTTTTCAAGGCCTCGGAAATACAGAATGAATGAGGAAACAGGTGATGACCCTTTGGGTCGTCACATCCTCCACCTCTAAAACAACCGTTCGTCCTCGAACGGACAAAAGAAAGAAGTACCTGAGTCAGGGAATAGATGTGGATAATGGCTCCGCATGTCAGACTCGGACTCTCAGGTCGAGGCCTCAGGGGGCTGACCTCTCCACTGGACACGAACAGAAGGAAAACTCTTCGACCTCAGCTGTCGGACCTGCCGGTCTAGGATAGCTACCGGCTCCTCCTCATATGACAGCTCCTTGTCCAACTGGACCGTGCTAAAGTCTAATACATGGGTAGGATCGCCGTGATACTTCCGAAGCATAGACACATGAAAAACTGGATGCACGGCTGATAATCTAGGTGGTAATGCAAGCCTATAAGCCACCTCTCCTACTCGATCAAGAATCTCAAACGGACCAATGTACCTAGGTCTAAGCTTGCCCTTCTTTCCGAATCTCATCACGCCCTTCATAGGCGACACCCGGAGCAATACTCGCTCTCCGATCATGAAAGCTACATCTCGGACCTTACGGTCTGCATAAGTCTTCTGCCTAGACTGAGCTGAGTGAAGCCTCTCCTGAATAATCTTGGCCTTATCTAAGGCCTCCTGAACTAAGTCTGTACCCAATAACCGAGCCTCTCCCGGCTCGAACCATCCGACTGGAGACCGACATCGCCTACCATACAACGCCTCATATGGAGCCATCTGAATGCTGGACTGGTAACTGTTGTTGTAGGCGAATTCTGCTAAAGGCTGAAACTAGTCCCACGAGCCTCCAAAATCAATGACACAAGCCTGGAGCATATCCTCCAAAATCTGAATAGTCCGCTCGGACTGACCGTCCGTCTGAGGATGGAACGCTGTGCTCAACTAAACCTGGGTACCTAACTCTTGCTGAACCGCTCTCCAGAAGCGCGAGGTAAACTGCGTACCCCGATCCGAAATGATAGATACCGGCACACCATGAAGGCGAACAATCTCCCGGATATAAATCTCAGCTAACCTCTCGGATGAATAGGAGACTGCTACTGGAATGAAATGCGCTGACTTGGTCAGCCTATCAACAATGACCCAAATAGCATCAAACTTCTTCCGAGTCAACGGAAGTCCAGTAATGAAATCCATGGTAATCCTCTCCCACTTCCACTCGGGAAGCTCAATCCTCTGAGACAAACCACCAGGCCTCTGATGCTCATACTTGACCTGCTGACAGTTTAAACACCGAGCCACATACGCAACAATATCCTTCTTCATCCTACGCCACCAATAATGCTGTCGCAAGTCCTGATACATCTTCGCGGCGCCCGGGTGAATAGAATACCGAGAACTGTGGGCCTCGCTAAGATCNATCACCCAATACACGTTAGTCGCGGGGGTATTTTTGTTAATAGAATTAATGTCGTGTATTTTTTTTGGACGGATAAATAGACGGAGGGTATTTATAAACCATTTAGCAAACGATAGGGGTAGTTTTGGCCCTTTTCCGTATTTATTATTGAGGAATTATCTTAAATATTAGTATTGGCTGCTAAATTGTTTACGTATTCGTAGTTTTACTATATTATGATAATCACTGATTGTAATTATTTTTAGAGATTTTAAACTCAATATTTCGCGTTTCATTATAACATTTACACAAATTGATGTTAATTTATCTAATCAGCAACATAAAGTTGTATTTCACAAAGACGTTTCTTTAGGTTTATAAAATAATAAAAAATATTTTAGGACAAAACTTGCTTTTTGTGTTTGACGTGACTACTCTTATCGTCCCAATTTATGTGAAAGTATTTGATTAGACATTTTAGTTAAAAAAATAAAAAAAATTTAAATTTGTAATTTAAAATAAATCATAGCTTATAACAAAAAAAAAGAGAGTGCCACGTATAATGAAATAGAAGAAACACTACTATTCACTGTACACAATTGTTGAACAATCTCCAACTTTCAAAAACTTTTTTTTCTATTGAACTTTATGCCCAAATATAACTTAGTGTTCCAAATTCTTTTCAACTTGAACGTAAATTTTTTCTTTCTTCTTAAAACTCAAGTCAAATATTGTCAAATGCCTATGGTTGTTTACACCAAAATTTACACTGATATATCAGAAAGCCTGATTGCCCAGGTAAAGGACAAAATAATGTGTCTCCCCCTCACTGGCACAAGTAGTTCAGTCGTCAACGATTTGTTCTTTTACTTTTCAATCCTCTTCAAAACCCTTTTCCTTCCCAAAAACCCCCTCTCACTACAGAACGAATCGCTGCTCGAGGTACAACATTTTATTCTCATTTTGCTCAGTCACTCCCTCCATTCCCCATTCCTATCATCCAATCCATTCACTGATTCAAACGTTTTTTTGACCTTCATTTTACTCTTTCTTACTCTAGGGTTTCTTTTCCACCTCCATTTTCGTCATCTATTTTCCCTTTCTTCATCGCTCGATTTCATCTTTTTTTCGCTTTAGGGTTTTCAGTAGAGCGGGAGGAGTTTGGAGCACCGATTCGTGAATGGAGGCCTCGGCAGCGGCTGGTGTCGCCGCCGCACGCGGCGTTTCTCTTCCTGTCTCCTCCTCGTCGGCTCAGGCTTCTCGCAAAGAGTGGCGTGCTGTCTCCGAGCAATCGCTTCGAAATTCCAGTAGCGAGGTACTTTTCGCTGATGCAAAATCCTTCTTCTCACATTGCCTTCTGTTTCTGATCTAGGCGTTACGTTTCCATTTTCATTCTCATTTTACACCATTTGTTAATGTATCAAATGTAGGAAACGGGCCATTCTAGATTAGGTCAATCTGATGAGAGACTGATATATGAGGTAACAGTTTTAAATAAACATAAGACATTACCGATAAACTTAAATAAAAACGAGAAGAAGTATTGCATTAGTACTTTAGGGTTTGTAACGTGTAAATGAAGGTGATTTGATTTTTTGTCAAAGGTGCAGCAAGGGAGAGAGCCGATTGACGTGGACTTCTGTTCAATTACTATTGATGGAAGTTCGGGCAATGATATTCTTCAGAGACTACATACTGTGGTAAAAGAAAAAGAAGAGTTGCAGCAACTTGAGATTGAACTACGGGCTCAGCTCATTGCAAGATCAGAGATTATGGAAATACGGAATAGTTTTGATGCTCAGATGAAAGAGCACGCCAATACCAATGCTAAGTTTCAGGTACTGGAGTCTTTTTTACAAATGTTTTGACTACTGCTTAGGGCATTAATTTGATTTACTGATTAAGTCGTTGGTTTATTGCTTCTTAAGGAGCAAATACATGAAAGGGACCAGAAGATTTATGAGTTGGAGAGGAGGATGGAAGAGAAAGAAAGGGAACTGCATGCAATCAGACTGGACAATGAAGCGGTTGCTTGATTCTTCTAACTCTTACTTATGTATCTTATTCTTGTTTCTTTATGAGAGTAAGTGTATATTCTATTAAGTCTAATCCTTTTCATTGACTGGAGCAGGCATGGGCAAAAGAGGATCTCCTTAGAGAACAAAGTAAAGAACTACAAACTTACAGGTTGCTTTTTGCTTTTGTCTCAAGTCCCACTGTCATTTGTCGTTAATAATATCTTCTTTGTTGATTGACTAAACCACTTTCTCCTATAAATGTTTTTGTGCAAACGTGGATCACCTTCTATATTAGTTGGATTGTGGTTGTCTTACATTTTTAGTGGTTAAATTGTCTTCTGTGGTGTTTTCTTGTTCTGTAACTGAAGTTTAGAAACGAATTTTACATCTCCTCTGAAAATTGGCATGAAACTATACTTCCAATCTTAAAATCTAAGCAAGACTTATCAATTTTTAGGAGAGAGAGGGATAGCACTGAAGCCGAAAGGGCTCAGCATATTAAACAAATTCATGAACTCCAAGAGCATTTTCAAGAGAAGGAGCGCCAGTTCATGGAATTGCAGGAACAGGTACAATTATTTCTATTAGATTGATGGATGAAGAAGATTATTTTCTTCTTTTCTTTCTTATTCTTCACTTTTTAAAGTTGTAACTTGAGGCTTATGTTTATCTTTTGATGTTACTAATATAGTTTCATCTTTGTGCCTCATTGAGTGCATTTCAAGTCTGGTGTAGTTGTAGATGGCTTAATTGTGATTGAGTGTGATCAAACGTGGTTCGGACAAGAAAAGTAATATTAAGTTGAAGTTCACACAATAAATTGTAAAATATGACTTAACTTCAACTAAACTACCTGAGGACTTCAGGAAAGTTTGGGTGGTGAGAAATACAGTTCCATAGACATTAATGATGGCTTAATTGTGATTGAGTGTGATCAAACGTGGTTCGGACAAGAGAAGTAATATTAAGTTGAAGTTCACACAAGAAATTGTAAAATATGACTTAACTTCAACTAAACTACCTGAGGACTTCAGGAAGTTTGGGTGGTGAGAGATACAGTTCCATAGACATTAATGTTCTTTTAGCTGAACTAGCTAAGATTCTACCCGAAAGGGACATTCAAAATGAGGAATTCAAGGTAGTTAATACTACCAGATATTGATCATGAGCTCTAGGGCGTTCTACCAATTCATGAGGCGTACTTAATGCATCTTGAGAAATTTTAATTAAGAACCGCTCCTAAATCGATGTTTGATGTTAGAAAAGTTAAAGAAAGACAATCCTACTTGATAGAATGATTTTCTTGGGAAAACGGGCATCTTGAAACTCTTGTTAATTTAAAATAATCAACAATAAGCATAAAGTTCAGTCCACTCTTTAAATCTCATTTTATTGGTTTTCCTTAAGTGTGCTCTCTTGTAGCACATGTGCTCTTCATGTATATATATATATATATATATATATATATATATATATATATATATATATATATATATATATATATATATATATATATTTTAAATATGAAGTATCAACCAATTTCATCTTTATAATTATTCTCAAGTGACATAAGTACAAAATTGCAGCTTCTGTAATTTGTGCTAGGCTTGGGGGAATTGGGAACCTTTCTTCACCTCTATATTACTTGAATGTCCAGTCCACCTGCCAGTGTAGTCTATGAGTAGATTTTTGTTAACGTTTTGCAAATATCTTTGTGTCTAATTTGTGAAATGTACCCAATAAGTACTGGCACAGTGATATTCTTTTTTTAATTTTTTAGTATTTCATTGGGGGTGGAGGCTACGCCTTTTGTAGTGTAAGAAGACCATGGTTATGCTGTCATTCTTGGCCTCTTTAAGTGGCATGCTTTCTTGGTGGTGTTTCATTTTCTGACTAATGGTTATCACTGTTAATTTTTCAGAATAGGATAGCTCAGGAAACAATCCTTTTCAAAGATGAACAAATAAGGGAGGCCCAGGCTTGGATTACTCGTGTTCAAGAAGTCGATGCCTTGCAGCAAGCTGAATTACGGGAGCGCACAGAGCAATATAACCAGCTTTGGCTTGGCTGTCAAAGACAGGTGCTTCATTAATGATTCATCAACTTCAGTTGATTCACTTGCTCTTACTAGGAATACCCTTGATTATATGGTCCTATGTGACTGATTATGCTTTTCATTGGAGTGATTTAAGTGCATAATTTTTGTTGCAGTTTACTTGTATTGACAAGATTTCTTTTTCTGATAGTTTGGTGAGATGGAGCGCATGCATATGCACATGCAGCAGCTCCAACTTGAATTGGCTGAGGCAAGAGGTGGAACTTACTCTGATGGTTCACAAGTCTCCAAACTGAATTCTAAAGATGCTAGTCATCTTGGGCAGAGCAACGGTAGCCAACTTAATGCTAGTGGAAGCAGTACACCTGGTGAAAATACGATAGGCCTGCAAAATGGAAATGTTGAAAATGGACCATCTTTTACTTCAACTGGGAATGTGTCAACTCAGGTTCAAATCACTGTTCTATTCACATTTTTCTTTTGACCAAAGCTGCATGTTCTAGGACTGCGTCGGTTGTATCAATGTTATAGGCACTGTAAATAGAATTTATGATAACGGTTTAACTATTTGCTGTAGAAGTACCGTGCAAGTGCCTCATGTATATCTTTTCTTTGTCATTCATGACTTGACAAGACTCGAGGTGGTTTCTATTTCTGAAGAAGTTAGTTGGAGATAATGGTCTGAAAGTGGAAAATGGGCGCTTATTGCATCTTCGGTATTGTATTTGAATTAATACCGAGTATGGTCAAATATTATGCTGTAGTTATCATGAGCTATAGCCGCTTTTGGTCTATGGCACTTAATTCCATCATTTTTTGATAGATGAGCACATTGGATTTATATCTTCTGTATGAATTCTTTTAACTGGGATCTATATAACATTCCACCCAAGACTGCCAAAGAACTAGAAAATTTAACCTTATGAGCTGAATTTCAAAGTCCTCATTGCCCTTCAAAGTTCAAACTTGTAGTTTCATTAGTAAGTTTGTTTGATTGCTTTTTGATAGTTGAACCATGAATTATGCTTAGCATGTAGGTACCCTAGCTTCTAAATTGGTCAACAGATACTCATGAGAGGTGTAATCTTGGCATCAAGGCTTACTTCTTTAGCTTCAGAAAAGAGGCTGGCTTCATTATCATTGTTTTATGCGATTTTGATAGACCTTTTTCCCTATAATCTTGCCAAGAGATTGTGTTTAAACAAAACTATATAGCCGTGTTTGCATTTTATCTGGAGCTACTGCTGTCTATGGATAGTAAGACACTAAATGACAAGAATAACCTAAACCCATTGGTACGCCCTCTTAAAGAAAAGAAAAAAGAGAAAAAGATACATTGTTCTGAGTCTGTTTTGATTCTCCTTGCTTCTGTGCTCACAACAACTAATGATCTCTTTTCTGGGGTTCCACCAGTCGGATCAAGTCCATGGTATGGCAGTTGCTCCTACGTCCTTGCTTGGGATGACAACCTACCTCCCACCAGGACAGATTACCGCTCTGCATCCATACGTAATGCATCAACAGGGGATTCCTCCTTTACCATCACATGTTCCTCAATCTCATGTTGGGCATTTTCACTCAGTTCCGGCAGTGTCATCTCTTCAGCATTGGCCAAACCAACAGGTAATTAGAGAATTTTGCTCTAGTTCTCACTGTTACTTTTGCTTAAGTTAGGAAGATAAATTGCTGTTTCTCTGGTCTTCAAGGCTGTACCAGAGGGTTCACAGATCTCTAGTCACAATCAGTACTCGTTGCAACCTCAATCAACCTTGCCAGGATCAGATTCTCAGTATGATCACGAAGCAACTGTCAATGGGCAAACTCTTCGTTCTGATTACGGAGATGGCAATATGAACCAAGGAAGTGAAACTCAGGATCCAGTGGTTCCAGCTTCGAGTGAAGAGGAACAGGTCTATTGCCTGCAGTTACCTGAAATTTTCTCCTGTTTTATATGCATAGTTTCTTGACCTACAATAATTTTGTAGGAACTTCAGTCTGTGGATAAGAATTACCTCTCCAGCATCCAGACTCAGCAGACTCTACATCAGATTTCTTCACAATTCAATGGTGCTTTAACATTGGATTCTCATGAACATGACAATGAGACAGAGGTACTTCTAACATTCTCTAAAGGAGCAGCATCCCAATTACCTTTTGGTGGCTACTTGTGTTTCTGTTGTTTAGGTTTGGGGGAAGGGTGGGAGTATAAATGTTGTGAATAAGCAGAATCATCCATTTTGCGTTCTCTGTCAATGCTGCAGGTGAAGAATGTCAACTCTTCAGCTAATTACATGTTAGAGTCTCAAGGTTTAAGAATGGGGGAATTTAGTCCAAACATCGATAAATCATCAGCCGAAATTCCATATACTGCAAATAATTCAACTGAATCAGTGACGGATACCATGTCAGGCGCTGTATTAACTGAAACATATGTTGCTGGGGGACAGAAGAATGCATACGCTGTTGTTAGACCAGGAGAGGTTAATCTCCTGGATGAAAAAGCATTGCTGGCTTGCATAGTCCGCACTATTCCACCTGGTTCTGGCGGTAGAATCAGGATTAGTTCTACGGTTAGTTACACTTAAATAGTGTGATAGCTTTTTTTGACTTCTGTCACTTCCTAATTCCTTATAGTTTCTGGTGATTCTTTTTGTGTCTATTTATGATTCCAGTTCCTAATGCATTGTCTGATGTGCAGCTTCCTAATAGACTTGGTAAAATGCTTGCCCCATTGCACTGGCATGACTACAAAAAGAAGTATGGGAAACTTGATGAATTTGTTGCAAACCATCCTGAAGTATGTATAACACTGTTCTGTGTAGTGAATCTCTAATGAGCTTGTTCTTTATCAGCAACTAATTTGATCTTTCTACTTTTAGTTATTTGTAATTGATGGAGACTTCATTCAACTTCGAGAAGGTGCTCAAGAAATTATAGCAGCCACAGCGGCTGCTGCTAAAGTGGCTGCTGCAGCTGCAGCACCATCGTCATACTCCTCTCTTTTGCCTCCTATTGCTGTCACCCCTATGCCACAAAATCACCGTTTGAAGAGGATACCATCAGTTGAACAAGCATCTGAGAAGGCGATTTTCAAAGACTATGCTGTCATCAGACCAGCAAATCCTAATGACAACCTTCAAAGTCAGATTTCTAATGGTGCCTCTTTCAACTCTACTGGAGGCATCTCAAATGTTAAAATTTTGACAAAGCCTAGAGACCAGATGGAGCTAAACGCATCTGAATCGAGAGCTGCCTCATCTGTACGATTGACCAGCGGGAATGGAACTAATGCTGACAAAAATGACATGGGTAGCTCACAAAACAAGGTTTCATCTCATGGGAGGCCTGGTGTAAATTTAGTCAGTAAACAGGGCAGGTATTTATTATCATAAAGTTTAAAACTTTGAAGAGCTATCGTTTTGCTTCCAGTGCCACCATTAACAGTATCTCATCCCAAGTTTGTTTATTTAATTTTTTGTTTTCAGGAATGTTGGGATTTCATCAGGCTCTAGAAGATAGTAAGTGTTCATAATAATTTTGGACTGTGTTTTACTTATTTTCTTTTTAAATTATGAGCTACCTGTTGTTTTATTGCAAGTTTATATTGCTGCTGACCTACCTCTATCCTCTTTGAGTACTTCACCTTCCTCTTAGACTGAAAAGGAAAAACTAAAGGATTGAGCATCTAAAGGGTGTGTGTGTGTGTGGAGAGAGGGAGAGAGCTATTATGTTCAAGGAATAAAAAAGGGGTACAGAGGTTGAATGACAGTGTTCCTTCTGTATCAGCAGATATTTGGTTATGAATTTTCGTCCTACTCCATTTAGATTTGTTTGCACATTTGAGTTAGAATCGACGGTGAGCATAAAGGTTTAATAAAGCAAGCAAAATGTGCAAACTTCAAATTGTTCTGCTGTCAGGGTTACTTTTGAGTGAAGTTTCCTACTGTATACCATGTGAATTGTGTTTCCAGTTAATGTTTTGCCACTGAAAGTGTTGGTGTTCAAACGAAAATCTCTCTCTCTCTCTCTCTCTCGTGTTACAGTTATTCCAAGATAATTTTTTTCTTCTTTTATTTATTTATTTTAAATCCTTTCTGGAATAGGATGAAGGGAGGTGCATGTTTGTGGTTGTTGAAAGTGCTTCATGTGCTTGTTTCTTCAGTTTATTTGGTGAATAACTCATTGTCTTTGGGTATGGCAGAATATTGGATGCTGATGAGTATGGCTGGACAGATATTGGATGCTGATGGGTGTGACGGACAGATATTGGATGCTGATGGGTGTGGCAGGACAGATATTAGATGCTGATGGGTATGGCTGATCATTTAAATTTGAAATTATTCAAAGGGATAATTTTATTTAGTTTCAAATTGGAATACACTGTAATGTTTCCTTTCACATCTAAGTGGAAACAATTGTTCATCTAAGTATACATCCTCGGTTTTGCTGGAAATTTTGCTGCTTCTTGGCCATTGATCATATGTTAGGGGAATACCTTATTCAATTGCCCACAATGGCTTTGATGTCTGAAATGCATCTTGTGGAACTTTAATGATGAGAAAAATGTGATGATATGCTTGGATCAGCTTAATTGCGTGACACAGCTAGGGATTTCAGAACTGGTGGGGTTAGGCTATATCTGGGTGGATCAAAACAAGAAACCAGGTCGAATATAAAAGGATTGTGCCAATGCCCATTCAATGTATGCTTGGGTCAAGATGAACTGTCACGACCCGTCCCACCCTTGGGAGTTGTGATGGCGCCTACTCGTAGAAGCTAGGCAAGCCACGAAATATAGAAATGCTTAACTTTTTCATTTTAATCCTTTTTGACAACTTGAGTTAACAGGTAATCAACATATTAAAATTTACGATAAACAGAAATAAACGGAAGACTAAAGCAACTAAAAATAACCAAGCCAGTACTACAATGCTAATATACTCCTCTACCCGGAATTTGGTGTCACAATATTCACGGGCGAACTAAGATGACTACAACAAAGGTCTACAACAAAGGTCTGAAGGAAATACAATCTGCCACGAAATCTAATGAAAACAGAGTACATAATGAGATAGAAGAGAACGCCGGGCCTGCGGACGCCTGCAGGACTACCTCGGGATCTCTGGATGGACTGAAGGCTGGCTCCCCAAGTGCTACTGTCCAAATGCTGCTCCGGTATCTGCACATAGTGCAGAGTGTAGCATCAGCACAACCGACCCCATGTGCTGGTAAGTGCCTGGCCTAACCCCGGCGAGGTAGTGACGAGGCTAGGACTAGACCCCAGATAAACCTGTGCAATTATATAATATACGGCGAAAAATAAACAGGAATAAACAATTTAAATGGGAGAGGATACATGCTACGGGGAAGAATGTCAAATCCAGCAGGAACTTAAAAGAAATATGAGAGAACACTCAGAATCTACAACATAACAATAATAATACTGTTGCGGCGCGCAACTCGATCCCTTATAATTTAACACTGTTGCGGCGTGCAACCCGATCCAATATAATATTGTTGCGGCATGCAACTCGATCCATATTTAGTATTGTTGCGGCGTACAACCCGATCTATATTTATAATATTGTTGCGGCGTGCAACCCGATCCATATTTATAATATTGTTGCGGCGTGCAACCCGATCCATATATTCATATACCTTTGGCAACAACCATACTAGGAGTCCCGGCAAGGGATCAACAATAAATTACACTATCCCGGCAAGGGATCAACAATAAAAGTAAATACGTCTCGGCAAGGGAGAATCAGCTATAACCAATCTTAACTCAACCTCTATTCATCTCAGCTAACACCAATATTCAAATCATGAGTAATTCCCACGAGAACAAACTTAATTCTTGCTCAATATCGAGAATCATTAATTAAAGCATCCGTAGTATCATATAAGAACACAACAATATCAATTTAAGACTCACGGTCATGCTCGACATCAACGTATAGATACTCGTCACCATGCCTATACGTCGTACTCAACAAGAAGCAAATAGCAAATAGNCATTAAGGGCATAAATAAGCAATATTTGACAACCATACCCGGCAAGGGAAGAATCCAACAAGTTCAACCAACGTCCGACAAGGGAATAATCAACAACGCTTTCTGTTTCTTACTTTTCTTATCTTTTAATTCACTTTACTATTTTGAGCCAACGCTCCAAAGAATCAAGTCATTTCGTATACTTTCAATATTCATATCACAATTCGAGCCAATGCTCCCAGGAATCAAGTGATCATATTATCGTTCACATGTTATTCACACCAAATGGAAATCCTCCAATAAACGCGGAGTTCACAACCAAATCATGATAATCACATTATAAGGACTCACGGTCATGCTAGACACCAATGTATAGATACTCGTCACCATGCCTATACATCGTACTCGATCACATAGCAATTAGCAACAAGACTCAACTCCTATTCCCTGAAGCTAGGGTTAAACCAAACACTTACCTCAAAGCCTTGAATTCCGCTTAATCCTCAACTATTGCTTTACCTCGTGATTCAACCTCCAATTCAGTGATATATAGGCATAATCAATTTAATAATATCAATAAAGACTCAATGGTAACATCCCATAGCCTAGATATGAATTTCCTAGCATTATTCCAAAAATCCCGAAATTAGACACCGGGCCCACATGGTCCAAACTCGAGGCTAGGACCAAAACTCAATCACCCATAACCCCACGAGTGCAAATATAGAATTTGTTTTAAGATTCGACCCCAAATTGAGGTTGAATCACCCAAAATTCTCAAAACCCTAACTCTACCCAAAACCCATAATTTCTACCTTGATTTTATGATTTAGGGCTAGGAATTCACTAATAAATGAAGGAAATCGAAGGAAACAAGTTAGATAACACTTACCCAAGAATATTTGGTGAAGAATCGCTCTACAAGTCGCCTAGGGGCTGTGGAGAAGAAGAGCTCGTGTATTTTTGTGATAAAACCCGTAGCTACTGTTTCTGTTTTTAAAAAAAATCGCTGGGCAAAATTGCCCTTCGCGTTCGCGGGAAAGCGGCCGCGTTCGCGAAGGACGAACGCGAGAAAGGGAATGCGAACGCGTAGAAGAAAATGCTGGGGGGTCCAGGATTGGCCTACGCGAACGCGTGCATAGGGACGTGAACGCGATAGAGAATAGAATAGACTATCGCGATCGCGACGGCCAGAACGCGAACGCGATGAAAGGAAATACTGGGGTTTGAATTTAGCTTACGCGATCGCGGGATGCTGTACGCGAACGCGATGAAGGAAATTCTGATGCTTCGCGAATGCGGGAGAGAGAGTGCGATCGCGAAGAAAGAAATGATTGGGCACCTGTTGCAGACTTTTCTGCAACTTTTCTAAGTTTTAAAACCTCCCGGAACACCTCCGAAACACTCCCGAGCCCTCAGGGCTCCTAACCAAATATACACACAACCTCAATAACATCCCACGAACTTACTCGAGCGATCAAATTGCCAAATTAACATCAAAATCATTGAATCAAGCCTCAAGATCATCATTTTCATTTCAAAATTCATGAACATCCAACTTTAGACATTTAGGTCCGAAACACGTCAAACGACGTCCGATTTCGACCAAACTTTACAGAAAGCGCTTAACACATATTTAAGACTTGTACCGGGCGTCGGAACCAAAATACGAGCCCGATACCACAGTCTTTTAATAAATTTTCATTCCCATTTTCCTTAATGATTTCAGAAAAATAATTTCACAGAAAAATTCATTTCTCGGGCTCTAGACCTCGAAATTCGACTCCGGGCACATGCCCGAGTCCCATATTTTTCTACGGACCTTCCGAGACCGTCCAATCTCGGGTCCGGGTCCGTTTACCAAAAATATTGACCGAAGTCAACCTCAAACATATTAATATCAAAATTCTTCAAATTTTTCACAGAATTCACATATTTCAATATAAAAGCTTTCCGGCTACGCGCCCGGACTGCGCACGCAAATCGAGGCAAGTAAAAATAAGGTTTTCAAGGCCTCGGAAACACAGAATGAATGAGAAAACAGGTGATGACCCTTTGGGTCGTCACAGCTAAGCTTGCCCTTCTTCCCAAATCTCATCACGACCTTCATAGGCGACACTCGAAACAATACCCGCTCACCGACCATGAAAGCCAAATCTCGAACCTTGCGTTCGGCATAACTCTTTTGCCTGGACTGAGCTATACGAAGCCTATCGTGAATGATCCTGACCTTGTCCAAGGCATCCTGGACCAAATCCGTACCTAACAACCAAGCCTCTCCCGGCTCGAACCATCCAACCGGAGACCGACACCGCCTACCATATATAGCCTCATAAGGAGCCATCTGGATACTCGACTGGTAGTTGTTGTTGTAGGCAAACTCCGCTAAAGGAAAAAACTGATCCCACGAGCCTCCAAAGTCAATGACACAAGCTCGGAGCATATCCTTCAAAATCTGAATAGTCCGCTCGGACTGCCCGTCCGTCTGGGGATGAAATGTTGTGCTCAACTCAACCCGTGTGCCCAACTCCCGCTGAACTGCTCTCCAGAAACGCGAGGTAAACTGCGTACCTCGGTCCGAAATGATAGGCACGGGCACACCATGAAGGCGAATAATCTCCCGGATATAGATCTCAACCAACCTCTCAGAAGAATAGGAGACTGCCACAGGAATGAAATGCGCTAACTTGGTCAGCCTATCAACAATGACCCATACTACGTCGAACTTCTTCCGAGTCTTCGGGAGTCCAACAACGAAATCCATAGTGATCCGCTCCCACTTCCACTCGGGAAGCTCAATCCTCTGAAATGAACCACCGGGCCTTTGATGCTCGTACTTAACCTGCTGACAATTCAAACACCGAGCCACATATGCAATAATATCTTTCTTCATTCTCCGCCACCAATAATGCTGCCGCAAATCCTGATACATCTTTGCGGCGCCCAGATGAATAGAGTACCTGGAGCTATGGGCCTCCTCTAAAATCAACTCTCAGAGTCCATCCACATTAGGCACACAAACTCGACCCTGCAATCTCAGAACTCCATCATCATCTAAGGTAATCTGCTTGGCACCTCCGTGCTGCACCGTGTCTCTAAGGACACACAAATGGGGATCATCATACTGCCGTTCACGGATACGCTCCAATAATGAAGAACGAGCGACTGCACCGTGCAAGCACACGACTGGGCTCAGAAACATCCAGCCTCACAAACTGATTGGCCAAAGCCTGAACATCCAAAGCAAGAGGTCTCTCACCGACCGGAATATAAGCGAAACTGCCCATAATGGTTGACTTCCTACTCAAAGCATCGGCCACCAGATTGGCCTTTCCCGGATGATATAAGATGGTGATATCATAGTCTTTCAACAATTCCAACCACCTCCTCTGCCTTAAATTCAACTCCTTTTGCTTGAACAAATACTGAAGACTCATGTGATCCGTGACCACCTCACAT